TGCTATATTACCTGTGACTCTCAAACATACGTTTGTGAGCACTGAAACATCTAAAAGTTTTTAACAAACAAGAGGGATTTTTATGTAAGGCGAGAGTCACTCAACGACCATGCTATTTTCGTGAGGAATTTGTCTCAAGTTCATGTCTGAATGTATTGTTGCTTAACCATATCAGTAGTTCAAGTTTTTTTGTTGTAAATTATAGCACATAGCAAGATGCATTACATGAAAGGGAAACTCTAGAGGAACTTTACTCACAACCTTATATGCAAAACTTACGTAGTTTATGCTGTTCGTTGTTCCAGATGAAACGTTTTGCCCGACTTTCTAAATTAATTGCTTAAGGCTACAAGTTCCTCCTGATGTTGTTTAAGCTGAGTATTTTGGCAGTGTCATTAGTAGTTAGTGGGCGTAGAGGGGCATATTACCCCCAATGAGAACGAATATGGAGGAGATCAAGTAAATGTATAAAATTATGATGCTTTGGTAGGTGTTAGTACAGAGAGTGATTTCTAGTGGAGCATTATTCAGGCCGGCTTGTAGTGAGTGTGCCTGATTAAGTTCGCTCAGGAAGTAGTGCTTAGTTGGCTTGTCTTCTTGAAATATCTAAACCAGGCAGATAATCAGAGAAGAGGCATGTTTTAAAGAGGGTTTTTTTTATTTAACCTGGCGTCTGAACTCATGTGTATATTCAAAAATACTTTGAAATATTCTTTGTTCAGAATGTAACGACATAACGTCTGTGCTTCTCTTATGCAAGAAAAAAAAAAAAACTAAATTTGCGCTCTTGCATTCTATCGAGAAATTAATTTATTAGTTGGATGACCTTCGTTTGGGATGGTTCTTTTTTGGAAATAGTGCATCAGTTTGCGAATTGAGGTGAGTTTTGTACTCTAGGCGAAGCACTTTGTCTTAGAAGCGAAAGTCTAGGGCAGCTTCCTAGGCTAGCTGAGTAGTAGCTACGTCTCATACGAATTTCGGGTTTGAAATTCTGCATGAAGCATTTTCCTCTAGTAGACAAAGAGAAGAAGCTGTAATGATCCTTATCATTGAATTGATAAGTTGGAGTGACTGCATTAGATGTGACTTGGCTAGAAACTTTGGTCGAGCTGTTATTTGCGATTGAAAATGTGCACTGTAATGACAGAAAGCGCTTTTTTAACTTTCTGAAAAATTTTGGAGTCATTGTCACTTTAAAATGCTGATTAAGTTTTTTTCTACTCTCGTTTTGAATAAAAATTTTATTCAACTTTACACTATAGTTTGCTAAGACAAAATGCTATAAAGTGAGTTACTAAACTGAAATGAGGTAACTTGCAGTGTAGAAATTTTTGAGAAATTGCGTGCAAAGTTCTTTATCTCTTCTCAGCTTGCTTAACGAACCAATGTAGGGAGAGAATTTTCTTTTATAACTTAGAATACGAGGACTGTAACAGAAATGGAGTAAAATGAGGTAAACAAATGGAGTCGGCTAGAGGCGTGAAGGACGACGAACAGTATGCTTTGAAATCTGTTTCAAAAACTTAATAGTTTTAAGGAGTGGGATCGGTTGATTTGTTCGTGTGTAACTGCAAAATAAATTCTGATTCGACCAAGAAATTTTCCAAAGAATAATGTACTGTTGGTTTTTTTGTTCCTCTTGCTTCTAACTTGTGTTAAATAGCAGTAATTTTTTTAATCTTGATACAGTGAAAGGAAATACGTACGGTTGAAACACATTCAGGTTTAAATTTAGCTTTGTAAAAAGTTCACTTTTAAATTTTCTTTTTAACGTTTCAGTACAGAATTGTTGTTAGAAGTTCATTTATTACTTATTTTTTTCAAAATAGTGGTAGCCTTCTGAATTTTTAAATTATTTTGAATTTTTTCTATTCACTACGGTGATTTATTTTAAGAAATTGGAGCATTCTGCAAAATTTTTTTATAAAATTGTTCAATGATCTGCAAAGCTTTTAAAATTGGCTACTTACTGTTGCGCTTCATTCGTCATATTCTTTTTAGCTAATTACTAAAAAGTCGGAACTTCTGAAAAAAATTCAAGAGAAGCAAAAGGCAGTGACTGACAATCGCGAGGAGTTTATTAGAAAGAAGGCTGAACGTGCAAGAAGGTTGGTATAAACATTGTGAAAATGGCCTTATAAACATTCTCTATCAGAATTTTTGCTACGTTTTTTACTTACTGTTTCTCATCTCGTGAGCAAAACTATGAAGTAAGCAGCAGAGTAAAGATTTTAGGTGGCACTGTGTTTAATTCTGCAACTCTTGTTCCGCCAAATTTACTTTCTTTACTTCTTTTTTTGTTTTATTGAAGTCAAGTTGATCTAATCCAGTTTTCTTCCGCAAATATGGCATGCCTTACTCTTAAAGCATGGATTATATAAGAGCAAATTTTGTTTTTTATTGAATTTTGGAGGTCTTACGGTTTCCTTCCTTGTCAGTTCATCAGTTACCTTTCACGAAGACAATTTTCTTCTTGCTATAAGGGCAATCTGCCATTATTTAACATTTCAAACCTTGCCATAAGGAAAAACATTAAATCAGTGTTGTGATTTCTGTAGTTGAACTGCTCGCACAATATTTCTATTCTTTATTTTGTGTAGAGACCGAGAAGATAGGGCTCAGCGTGTTTTGCAAAACTGCAAAAGGAAGCAAGAAGAAAGAAGAGGTGTTAAAGCTTTGTTCATCAACCGGAAACCTGAAATTCAAAGCGAATTAATGGCAGAAAAGAAGATACGTCGGAACCCACTCAGGCAATCCTCTTCTAAATTTTTTCAGCCATACACTTATAGAGTTTGAATGAAATATTGTATCACACTTTCAGTCCACTTCCTCTCGATAATCACAGTGGTGAGGGACGACATAATGTTTATGAGAAGCAGAAACTTGACAAAACTTTTGAGGTGCCGCCAAGGGCAGAAAGTGTTATTCAAAAGGTTTTTAACTTTCCTCTTTTATAATGATTTAATTGCTGTGATGTAATGGCAGTAGAATTTTGCTGTTTTTCTCAAGCTGCTTTTCAATAATTTTAGAATTTAGACTTTGCAGAAGAATAACGTGGAGCAAGGATTAGTTCAGCAATCTGAAAAAGATCTTAGTCTAAACCCTAACGGCAACGGAGTTCTTAAACCTGTGATTTCTCCAAATCTGCCTTCCGTAAAAATTGCGTCAGGATTTAAAACAAGCAATAATAAAAGCGTCCAGATGAAAAGTAAACTGGAAAGAGATCCTAGCGGTGGCCGTAAAAGTGTAAAATCAAGTAACTCGTGATAAGTATTTTTTTTACCAATTGATGAGGAAAATTGATATCAAAGAAACGTTGATGATACCAATTTAGATTTAGATCGTTCCGATAAAAATATTGAAAACTGGGTAACTTCACATGGTGATGGAATTATATGCCACCAAGATAATATGAAGGATTTATTCAGTAAAAGTGCTACTGCTAACTGCGGGCAACTGCTGCAGAAGAAAGGATTGAGAATTTTCAATGGGTCAGGCGCGGTGGAGCCGACAAAGAAGTTTGAGTTACGTAGGTCATCATCGTTAAGGTAATTTTTGTTTCCTAATCGTCCTTTTCAATTTAGCTATCAAAGGCTTGGATCAAGTAATGACTGCACAAAAGAATGTAAAAAAGTGGTTTTCAGTAAAGAGTTGAGTCAAGATCACCAAAAGCGGTTGAAGTCCACTCATTTTTATTGCTGTAAGATACAGGATCGGAATTAAAATCTACTATGCTTCTAATAAAACAGTTATAACCGTGGGCCAATTAATGCCTTAAAGG